AGAAGACTACTTTCTTCTTCTTCTTCTTCTTCTTCATTATTATTATTATTATTATTATTATTATTATTAATATTATTATTATTATTATTATTAAGAATTACTGTTTTTTTAACTTTTTCCATCATCCGGTTTGTTAGAGATGAATTCAGATACAAAGGAAAGTTGAACACTTTGCTAGGCATACTACCCATATCAACGTGGTGTAAAAAAACCCATGAGCTTAATTTTTTATCAATAAGAAACCGCAGTGAATGTCTGAAAGCAGTAATCTGTTTCTGTCTTCACGTAAAAGTTATGCTGTACAATTCTGTTCCAATTTACATCTACAGATTATGTTTCCTACGTTTACAAGCGGCAAAGGCTCTAATGTACACACAGTTTAGCTATAACTGATTTTATTTTGAATGGTACGCGGTTGCTGGATCTGATTCTTGTTTCCCTAACGAATTATTTTTGTTACCTGCGAATTGAGATTTACGACTTATTACTCTTTCTTCATACCCGTTCGAAACCCGGTCACGGCTGTTTCAGTAGGTTTCTCATTGGTTTCATCCGCCCTTACAAGCGAAGGGTTCTATGGTACTTTCAAGTGGGTATCTAACTACAGATCTTTTCTCTCAGCCACTGCCTACATTGGTAATACAGAAGGAAGCATGACAGCTTCGTGCAGATATTTCAGTTATGTACTGAACTGTTCCTTCACACTACGAATGAAGTACGGAGCTAGTACACCCCTTCAAGTTACACGGCAACATTTTGTTTCTTCCATCTTTCGTGTTCTGGCTTCTTTCATTTATACATATGGCAGTGCCGAGAGAATATCGTGTTTTCATCACATAACTTAGCCTCATGACAGCAGCATGAGTAGGGCTTCGTACAAAGGATGAAAGTATGCAAAACTAGAGCCGAATATGATATACGCAAAACCGCATACTTCATCGTGTTGTCTTATTCCAAGGTTACGTGCATCTACGAAGTTTCATAACACGAGTCGATGAGATAAAAGTTTAAAGTTGTGTAACATGGCAAAGTACGTATTTAAAACTGAACTGTAACAGCAAGTCTCTGAGCTGTTGTTAGGTATTTGAATAATATTTCAGACGGTCAGAATAATTCTGTAAATTAAAATTTGGAAGAATTTTAAAAGCAGCAAATTATATTTTCTGAAAATTCCGCCATAAAGTATGCAGTAATATCATGTGATGCAAGTCCCTCCCAAATACAAGCAATGGGAAAAAATTAACTTAAATTTCTCTTCTCTTCTCTAATATTCTGCTTGCAGAACGAGAGAAATATATATTTATTCCCAGAATTTCTCCAGTATGGAACCTCTTCTCTTCTTCCAAGCATCAATATGAATTTACCCCACCTCTTAGCTAAAGCATAACTACACAAGAAATATTATTCCTACAAATCAAGCAACTGCACTGCTACCCACTCCATTGTTTGTGCTCTTAAAATCAGAATAATACATAAAAGAAGGCATTCAAATTGTGTCTTCATTTGGAGTAACCCTTGAAACATTTCTCCTCCCACCCTAATATTCACCTATCAGAATTTGGAAACCACTGCCTTAACGGCAATTCTTCTCTAGGATACACAGTCATGTCTCAGGCTAAGGCACGATTCTCAATTTTTTCAAATCGATACGTCATAAAAATAATTCATTTCAGTGCTTCATGTATTTGCTTCCTCACACAGCAGGCTATGGGCCAGTTATGAAGCAAGCACGACCATAGAAACAAAACAGACGGGGGCAAAACAAGGCAACCCGTATCATTTGGAAGTAACAGTTCATTTAGTACAGTCACGCCAACCATTATGCGGTGAGAAAAAAAGGAAATACCGTTATATGAAATATGACTAAGAGCAACAGTTTTGCTTCCACGTATTTGGAAATCCCTACA